AATGTTTGCCGAATGTGTAAGTGTCTGTTTATGAGTCGTAACAAAAAAACATGAATCATCTTTTAGACAGAGTAGATATTTGCCGCGAACTTGGCTCTGTTAAATTTAACAATATGTTAAGGGAGCAATGCAGACCAATTGCTCATGTGATTGGTTAAAAAGGAAAACAACCAATGTTTTGAGATGTTACCGTGATCCCCACCCAAACAGAGCCAACTTTTTCATCTTGTCTTTACTCGTCAGGGCATAAGGAACAGAGCTATCGCTGTACATTTTGTTGTCAATATTTTTTTCATGCAACTCGTAGTCAGTCTTGGAGATCATGTGTCTGAAAAACATGACATCTGTTTTGGGGTTGCACAAGGGAGCTGCCTTGATCCATTATTATTCTCAGTGTACATACATTTCTATGGTTATGCTGATGACATGCAACTGTACATCCGCTGAGCCAAGCGATGCTGCAGCCATAAACTCCATTACTACCAGTCTTTTGGCAATAGATAAATGGATGAGCAATAATTTCTTTAAGTTAAATGAAGACAAAACTGAAATCCTGCATGTTGGTCCTGAAACATAAAGAGAAGTGCTGTTTAATAATCTGGAGAATTTAACTCCCTGGATTAAATCTGACGTGACAAGTCTTGGTGTGATTCTAGATTCAGATCTAAGCTTCAAGTCCCACATTGACAAGGTGAAGAAAACATAATTTTTCCACCTCAGAAACATAGCTAAAGTACGACCATTTCTGAATGAAAAAGATGCAGAGAAATTGATCATTGATCAGAAATCATGCCTTTATTTCAAGCTGCCTCGACTAATGTTACTGGCTTCCCAAAAAACACTACTGAGATACTTCAGCTCATTCAAAACTCTGCAGCTCAGCTATTAACCAAAACTGAGAGCTTCCTGTTACATTTAGAATTGATTTTAAGGTCTTCGTCCATGTATACAAAACCCTAAATGGGCTCAGACCAAGCTACACTCCTAATTCCCTGGTTAACTATCTGCCTCCAAGAACACTGCGATCATCTGCTGCTGGTTTACTGGAGGTTCCCAGTAACAGCTGGAAGAAGATCTGGGATGCAGCCTTTGTCAATTATGCCACAACACTATGGAACACACTACTTATATATATCAGGGAAGCCAGCTTAAAAGTAAAGCTAAAACCGAATATGTTCACTTTAGTCCTTAACTAGCTCTGACTTTCCTGATACAGGTCTGAACCTCTTTCTTTTTACACTACACACTGCTGCAACTCTTTTAAAATATTGTATTTTATATGGTTGTATGATTTATGGTTTTACAATTCTATGATTTTATGATGTTAATTTTAATGTGAGGCACTCAGTGCTTATAGTCCTCTTGTTGTAAAGCACTTTGTGCCACATTTCTTGTAGGAAAGGTGCTAAATGAATAAAGTTCATTATTATTATTATGAAATAAAAGGATGTCAACGGATACTTATCATCAAAATTTTTGTTGAAAAAAATTTACAGTGGGCGACACGTTCCATCTTTACGGTGATCATGACCATAAATACTCACTCAAGCACTTCCTGTGTATCAATCCACAGCTGAAAATAGTTCCCAACAAAGGCAACATTTACTCTTGCTGGATGTTTGCAGCCCCAGCTGTCTAAAGAAATTATTTAGCCTTTAAAATAATTTCACTGTGCTGTATCAGCTTTGAAAGATTAATGTTTTCAGTGGGAACAAACGAGCTGAGAGCCACAGACGGGATAGGGAAGTGATGAGACGAGACGGACTAAAATATTGTTGGTTTGGATCTTTTCACTGGATTTGTTAACAAGAGGAAAAAATAGAACAACACCAGACTTATCCTGTAAATGACTTGTGTGTTGCTGTGTGATGAAGTATGACAGTTAATACACTCTAATCCCTGTGATGATTCACAGCCTCTTCTTCTCCTTTATAACCAAATGTGCTGACTGTTCAGGTTCCAACTGCGCCTTTTACACTAACTTTAAAACATTGTTAATAAGTCTCAGGGTCTTTTTGCAGTATTTGTACTTGTACTTGTACTTTTTGACTTGTAGTCAGTCAAAAAAAGGAAGCTATAAAGCCATAAAGGAAGAATAGAGATAAGTGGAGCCGGAGATTGCGCAGTGACATGCGCTCAGAGTCTGGAAAATTACATCTTCTTCTGGGCGAGGGTTACTAAGCAACACACAGACTCAGAGCAGTTAGCAAAATCACTGCTTTGACTTGAAATCGATGGACACAGTGTAATTACAGAGACAAATGTAGATAGTTAAAAACGTCCAAGTTTAAAAAGCCTGCAATGAACTCAGACAGGAAGACAACAAGACAGACTGACACTTATGTTGTAAACACATTAATTTTCTCCACAGCAGGTCCGTGTTTGGGTCAACCTGAGGCCTTGATACGATTCTGGGGGTCTTCGAGGAGCTGACATGTTAGAATGATTCCTCTTCAGACATGAAACTGTCAGGACAGGTGAAGGTGAATCACTGTCTGCTGCCATGAATTTAAGTTTCCCTGAAGCCACTCTATTTCAGGCAATGGTCACTGTTTGTATGTGTGTGTGAGCATGTGTGGACCAACCCCTCATAAAGCATAATTACAGGGCAGAGATGCTGATAATCAGACTCAGGCTGCCATCTTCATTTCCTGTTGGTTTTGTTGGTGAACAGTGGGAGTTTACAGCCTTGCTTAATCACTGACAGTCTTCAGCTGGGACACTGGTGTCTGTGTCAGTGTGGTTTGTGGTGTGTGAGTGGATCTGTGTGATTGTCTGGGTTACGGTACGTTCACGTGTTTGTACTGTGCCAGTCTGTGGGTAATGACTGCGGCAGTACGCCTCTGCCCTTTTTCCACTGATCAGGGCTTTATGGTAAACAAGTGTATCTATTATTTCCAAGTGCAGTCTGAGGTTTTTCTGTCTGATCTCACAGAAATGTCTCTGGATTTTCTTTAATTGATGCAGAAACATGATGCAGCAGCACTGTGTTGGAGTTTGAAAATGAATGCAAGTCTGTTTGTTGTTATTCTTTTTGATAAGGACCAAATGTCCTCGAAAGTGGGGACAGTTTTGTGATGTTATTTAAGGAATGGGTTTTGGATTTAGAGTCACTTGAGGTCAGTATTTCTTAGCTGTATTGTGCCCAAGGTCAGAATTTAAAGGCACGGAGAGGCAGTCTTTGTTAATTACGCCGCAAAACTCTGGAACAGTCTGCCTGAAGGTCCTTACGGCTCTAAATCTGTCAGCACTTTCAAATAAAATCTTATGACGCACACAGTGTTTCTACGTGTTGGTTGGTTTATCTTGTCTGTTTTAATTCAATTTTATTTGATTTCTCTTGTTTTTATTGTTTTATCATACAATAATCATATCATGTTACACACACAAAACAATAATTTACACAGAAAATAATCAGTAATATAAATAATGTCTGAAGAAATATCTGACAAAGTACATTATGTCAAAAAGGCAAAAAGTGGAAGTGCATTTATCAATCTAAAATGGTAAATTAACTTTTTCTGTGGGGACTCAGAGGACGGTTTTCTATTAAGGCCCAGACACACAAAACCGCTCAGTTCAGAGAATTAGCTGCAATGAAGGCTCTCTGCTGCAAAACATTGCACATGAACACACTGCAAAGAGTACAGCTGATGACCAACCAGCATGTATGTACTGCACCTACACCAGAGAAAATAATTCTCCATGCCAGCAGACGGCGGTAGTCTGTAATCGTCATTCAAACAGAGAACCAGGACGACCGTTTTGATGCTAGTTAGCCAGTTAACACATTAACAACGCAATCCAGTGTTGAAAGAACAAAGCATGTTTACTGTGCACCAGTGAACAATAACAAAAACCATCGTGAAATGTTTCTGCTCAGTGGCTAAAGAAAAACAATCTTATCTTGTGCTGTCTCAAATCGCGTACTTCTGTACTTACACTTACTATTCTGAGTGCATAAGTGCGTTCACACTGAGAAGTATGGAAAAATGCAGTGCACTATGAGTACCCAGATGGTGCACTCAAAACGGTCAAAAAGTTGAGTGTGGAACTATGGACACTTCTCGCCCTCAATGGTCGCCATCTTGGCTACACAGAGGAAGGGGAGGGACCACAATAACGCGAATGCTAATGCTAGTTTGCTAACTAGCTAATTTGCAGTCGTCATTTCCGGTGAGTGCACAACGGCCGTGTTGGTTTGAGACAACACTAACCTGTCGAAATTTGCGCACTATGCCAATAAGTACATAGTGCACATAGTATACTACTACTAGAAGTGTACTAACGGAAGTATGCAATTTGAGACACACCATCTGTCTCACTCCCTCTTGACTTTAGCTCTTTGTTTACGTTCCTCACTTGCCATGCACTGAGATGAACTGCCAATCAGAGTCATTTCATTCACCAATGGACTTTGTCGTCGCTGAATGAATATGTTGAATTGGCTACCAAAAAAAAAAAAGAAAAAAAAAAAAAAGCCAATGGGGACCACAAGGGAAAACAGTGCGGGACACAACGCACCAGCTAGTGATAGATAATTACAATAGGCCTGTGCCAGGACACTTATACCGTCAGAGCATTAGGTTTAGTGAAAAGATCAATAGTTGAAGTTGGTTTTGCATATTTTAGTGGTATTGTGGAATTTGTAATTTAGCTCTAAAATAAAACAATAACATTTTTTGCGGACCAAAAGTCTAAATTTCATCTCCAAAGCGGGGACACCTTTGTAAGAACAGAGGGTTATTTCTGCAGTGGGTTTAGGTTAGTGTCAGGGGGGATGAGGTCCATGTGGCTGGTTAGGGGGTGAGGTTAGGTTTGTATTTTGTGGTTGTATTTTGGGTTTCATTTTACTGTCAAAGTCAGGATAATGGTTTGGGTTAAAGAAGGGTATAACATTAGGATGTGGAGTCTGGGAAGAAGGATTTGACTCCATTATGAAGAGAATAATTCAATCTTCTCTGAATCACTGAGTGTGCGTGTGTGTGGGTGGTGCTGACCTGACCACTTTGGTCCCGCTCCTCATGACCTGCATGTCCACGTTACAGGTTCCATTTGAATGTGCAACGAGGTTGACCTCTGAGAACTCAGCCTGCGAGGGCGGAAAGAGAACAAGACATGGTTTAATCGGCTGCACACATTAAGTCTTTATACAGAAGAGATGAAGTCCACATGAATCCCTTTAAATGCTGAATGTTGCATAATCGTACGCCTTAATTTTGTAAAGGGCTCCAACAGCTTAAAATAAACAACTGTATAATCAAATGTGCAAGAAGCAGAATTATTATTTTCTCAATAGTTAAGGTCAGAAAAGGTGAAATATTTCAACTCTTTTCCATAACTACACATCATTTATCATTTGAACAAACACTGGATTATCTTCTCTTTTACAAAACTTCCTTAGCATAGCAGTGAAAGGAGTTGACGAAAAACACTTTGAAGCTGTTATTTATTTGCATACTCTCAATATACTTTATATTTATTGGAATAGACAGATATATATCATTGTTTATATAGACCACTTACAGTTATTCTAGTAAAATGATGCATGTGTGCTTGTCTTTCGTGTGGTTGCAAACATGGTGAGGGTTTCTCTGTGACTCATAGCTGCTGACTCGTGTCTCCTCCTGTGTGTGTTTTTGTTTCTGTGGTGAGACTTGAGGTTGTAATTTCACTGTCACCATCTATTAGGTGTGAAACCCCAGAGAAAAGTCATTTCAGATGCAGTACACCAAGTATTGCAAAATCAAACTGGTTTGCTGGTTAGCATGGTTTAACCAACATGAAAACAATATGTCAGATTCTGTTAATTTATTATATGTAATAACTTAACTATGTACAGTAACTACAAAATGATATCAAGATACTGGTGTTTTTCTACATATTAAGTGCTTGTGGTTTTAAAAGTGTGTGGTTATACTATAAATGTATACAGGGGTTAACATACGCAGCACTTTCTATAGGGTAGACATGGCTCCAAACTACCATCTTCCTGTTCAATATAAGACCACAGTAAGAGTCTACAGCCATGCCTGTGGTTCAGAGGTGCTTTGAGATAAATGCTAACATTAGCATGATAGAGCTCACAGTGCCAATGCTGGGAGGTAATATTTACCAGCTTTACCATCTTAGTTAAGTCAGTTATAGCCTTTTATTTTTTCTTTTTTTTTTCCTTTTACAAAAAGGCGACAGAGTAGAGAGGAAATGCTACTTCTGGTCATGCCACTGCAGTCTGTAGTCACTGCTACTACTGGTGAACCCTGAACAGCTTGTTTCCTCTCAGTCACTCCTTTCTCTGCCAAAAGTCACCACTGCAGATTGTTGCTGTTTTTCTTTGATAAATTTCAAGGAGAGTTGAGAGTTTTCAAATAAAATTGGACAAAGGACACAAATTCTTTTTGAGCTAAACACAAAATGCAGCTGAGGCTAATGGTGTCAATAGTTTTGCTGGTATTTTGATCATAAAGCAAATTGTTAAGCGACTGTTGACCTGCTGATGACTCTAGAGGAAAATGTCAGTCAACTTTTGCTTTGTATAATGGAGTAATGGCATCACGCCACCTCTGTGTGTGCTTTTCTGTTGTGGACACATGCATGTTAACGAACACCTGTGAGTGAATCCCACTGGCTAACTAATCGCTGCTACACACTGTGCTCATGCGCCAGTTACCGCTGATATCAAAACGGCATCTTCGGGGAAGCCTCACACCCACCCTCCTGGTTCACCTGCATAGATAAGCTCTGAATGTTGTATACAGCTCCTTTAAAGCTGCACCTAGAATATCTGTGGCAAATTTTGTGACAACTCCTCTTGTAGTTGTCAGGATATTTCACTCAAAATCAAACATGTAAATGTCATGGTGGCTAAAGGAAACATCAGGGGTTCACTTAAGTCATTAGGATTCATCCTCTGGGGATCACAAATGTCTGTAGCAACTTTTGTGCCAATTTATGTTGCAGATGCGGCGATATTACACTGAGTAAGTGTAAACTTACAGATGAAATGTGAGGAGCTCAAAACAGTCTTTAGGATTCATTCTCTGGGGCCCACGAATTTAATGGGAATGGGAATCACTCTGGACCGCTGACCAACATTGACTCTGGAGAACCTTTTGCACTAGGGCTGTAAAGTTTTTGTCGGTAGGTCGATTGTTTTGTCGTTATGCTCTGGTGCTGGTGTTACTTTAATAAGGCCGTGTGTCCACCAGAGTGTTTCAACTCTCATATTTATCTGACAAAATGGATAAATAATCACAGAAGAAATTCAGTGTGGGATTTATCACTATGGATTTATTTTACTAAATCTATGAAAAGACACCACAGTTCAAGGCTGGATTATAAAGCTTCTGGAACGGATACGATCACATTGGAGCTCTTGTTGGAGCGGCAGGATGGCTAATGTTAGCGACGGGGCTAAAATTAATAAGTCTCTCTCTCGCATGTATCGTTACAGAGATATTTAACATTTGTAATGTTTTGTTGTATATGACATCAGCAATCCCAAAGTTAACTTCTGTAGTGTCCAATATGTGGACACTTAATGGTGAGACGGACTCACACAAGCAGGTCAGGCTGAACAGAGTTAAACGTATGCAGTTTATTTTTGGACATTATTACATCGGAGATCACATTTAGATTTCACTTAGGGTATTCCTGAACAGACATTTAACTTGCCCTGGGCAAGTGTTACTGTCAAGCCCTGTGACAGGAAAAAGAAGCTTTAGTTGACACACATCGCTACCAGGTCGAGGGCACTGTGGTGATTTAGTTAATCTAGAGATAACCTGTGCAGATATTTCTCCCCCACTGACCAATTGATTGGTCAAAGAGAAGGAAGAATTTCAGTCGACCAAGATGTTCCTTGGTTGATTACAGCCCTATGTTGCATATACAGGCAGAGACGTTTGCTAAACCTGTGACCTCCTGTCTCTGCCCCCACTACACAGCAGCATCACATGGTATTCACACTCTTCTAGAGTGACACCTTTGACTTCTGTTACACTTTAGCTCACACTGTTTTTCTAGGAACTTATAACCTGCTGTGTAAGCAACAGACAAGTAGAAGTCTCTGAAAGAGTCTTATGCTGTTATTGAAAATGTGTCAGGGCACCAGTGTCTCAGCTTGTCAGTGGAAACCTATGTATTTCCATATCAAACGTGTATATGGTGTCAGTTCACTTTCATCTCTGCTCTGATCCCCCTCAGCCTTAAAGAAATGATTCTGCAGCGTCATCGCTCTATAAAATCAATATGATACCTGCTCCACTTTGATGTCGTAGTCTCCAAGGACCTTCTTTCCCCGAAACACTTTAGCCCTGGAAGAGAAGAGAGGAGATTTTAGTTTTCCATTGCACACTGTATGCTGCCCTCTACTGGACGTCACACTCCCTGTGGAGCACATGAGAGAGAGAAAATGGATGCCTGCTTGTGCACTTTAAATGGCCAAACTTTGTCAGCTGTACTAAAACTGTTTATTCTAATGAGCTTTTTGAACTGCTTAAAAGAAGAGGCATCAGATCAGTGTGGCCACACCAAGCTGCAATTAGTGTCATCTCAATGGCTGGTAACATTAAATTCTGATTAGAATTCTGTGCCAAATTAAATGCCGCCTTGACTGATGAACGTATCCAATAAAAGCGTGGTCTGATGTTGACTTTTTAATATCTCAGATGCCACTTGCTCAAGGAGAGTGATGTAGAAATGGATTACACACACACACACAGGCAGGCAGATGGAGAGCAGACAGACAAAGACAGACTGACGGCAAGTCAAGCAGAGAGGCGCAGGCTGCCAGCCAAAACACAAAATGCTCAGGACGTCTCATTTTACACAACACTGTAAATGGATCACAGATGGTTTGCACTGCATTCGTCATCATCCCATACACTGAAGCTAAATAAAGAAATAACCAGCACGAACCAGAAAGAGGATATATGTTTTTGAAGTCCTGGTTGATAATAAAAACAGAGACTCTACAGCATCTGACCGTCAAGAATCTATTTTCCCTTTTCACCAGCTACAATGTAGTCTGTAAAATGTAATCAAATGTCTTCTTCAACAGGTCCCTGAACCCCACTTCAATCCTCCATTAAAATCATTCACGTCCAAACAGTAGGCGAGCCTAAGTACCACAATATGACGTTAAATCAAATTGCATGTGCCCTCGTGGTTTCTCTCTGTCATCCATTAAGAATGTATGTATGGTTTCTTCCATATCACCTCACAGGACCTTGTGTAGTGCAGCACAGAGGCATCTGGCTCGTTAGTCTGGTTCATTAGGATCAGACCATCTGTGAGAGAAACACTCTGAGGGTATAATGCCTTAACTTCCACCAATCAATAGCCATGGCAGCAAAAAATGTTGACCTTAGAATTACAGCAATATATCTCTTTTCCACTCCTGCTAGAAGGTGCAATTCAATTAGCGTGTATTGTTTTTAGCATGGGCAGCTGCTCAAACACACTGCGATGTTGGTACAATGATACTCAAACATTATTATTAAAAACAACAGCACACACGAAAAACACATCATCTCTCTAAATGAAAAAATGCAATCAGTCCCCGGAGCTTTAATTCCAAAGTTACATTGCTGTTTCTCGGAGGGAGATAATTCAAATGCAACTGTCTCTAATCCCATTGGCACTGAATGGGTCTAAAGAGGCTCCACATTCAGCATGTGTTTTCAGCATCTGCAATGCACAATGCAAAACCGTACACAAAGACATGGGATGTGAGGCCAACGCGGTAATGGACAATTATCGAGAGGCTGCTGATTTAGCTTCCTACACAATGTATCTGCGACATAGCAAAACACACCACATGCTAATGGAGCTGTAAGCAAAAGCATGAGAGACGTCTTTTTCGGGACAAAGATTAGTCAATCAATCAGTTTTATTTAGTGTGCAGAATCACCATGCAGCATGGTCCCAACACACTTTATAATTAAAAAGAATACATGAGACTGGGGCTGGCACCATATCAGATTTTCACTACACTGTTATTGTGGACAAAAGAATTCACGATAACATTGCAATATCTATTCATTCATTCATTCATTTCCTGTAACCACTTATTCTCTTGAGGGTTGTGGGTATGCTGGAGCCTATCCCAGCTGACACTGGGTGTGGGGCAGGGCACACCCTGGATAGGTCACCAGACTATCACAGGGCTGACACATAGAGACAGACAACCATTCACGCTCACATTCACACCTAAGGACAATTTAGAGTTTCCAATTAACCTGCATGTCTTTGGACTGTGGGAGGAAGCTGGAGTACCCACAGAAAACCCACGCTGACACGGAGGGAACATGCAAACTCCACCCTGGATTCCAACTAGGAACAGCTAGGATACAATATCTATTGAACATTTAAAAATAATAATAATAATGATAATAATGATGCAATCAGTCAAATTCATCTTTCAGTTCATCTATTGTGCGTTTTGTCTCCTTGTTTTGGCAAATGATTCACACTTTAAATATAAGTGTAGGGTGATGAGAGAGAGTCTGTAAGCATAACTGTATAAAAAAGTGCACAGCAAGACACGACACACCCCTACAACACCCTCTGTGGCTCAGAGGTAGAGCGGGTCGTCCACCAATCGGAAGATCAGCAGTTAGATCCTGGCTCCTCCAGTCTGCATGTTAAAATATCCTTGAGCAAGATACTGAACCCCAAATTGCTCCCGATGGCTGTTCCATCTGTGTGTGTGTGTGTGTGTTAAAAACTGAGCAGCAGGTGGAACTTTGTATGGTAGCCTTGGCCACCAGTGTATTAATATGCGTGTGAATGGGTGAATGTGACTCATAGTGTAAAAAGAGCTTTGACTACAAATGACTAGAAAGGCGCTATACAAATGCAGATCCATTTACCATTTACAAATTGCGCCCGTCACTAGTACAAGACAAACCCACCAACATAACAATGGACCCTGCCACTATGCTACACTGTAGTGAAAAAATGAGGCCAAATGCCTCACCATTACCTTTACCCTAACCATAACCATCTCTTTTTTAACATGAAATTTCATTGTGAGCTAATTGCTAACTTAACAATTTCAGTGGGACTTCTGCTCCCAGGCCAAGGAGCGAAGGGGACTGATCATGGACTGATGTGCAGATATGATACGCAAGTCATGTAGCTAGAGGGCGGGTCACGTACTGTAGGTGCTCTTGCTGTAGTTATATGTAATCCCAGCATGCCCGCAGCAGAGCATCTCTATTACAATGAGCTGAAGCTGCAACACTGACCACAGGAGCCAGCCACCCTTGCCCATGTGGGCTTCACACAGCTCTTCTCTATTTTGCACAGCACGGCTCCACGGCCCTCCAACAGGTAAAAACTACATAAAACTCTGTAGAAAATGAGTGCAATCTGTTTAACAAGGACTCAAATGAATACTTCATTGTACCAGAGGTAATGGGAAGCAGCACAGCAACCTTGTGATTGATTTACATTTTTACATTTCACATTAAAATAAATCCATCAAATCAGTACATCCTGTAGTTATAACGATTCAGTTCATTAATTCAGAACCAGTTAATATAGTCTGTGCTTCTAAACCCTGCATAAACAACTGCATTATCACGTGGCAAAATTCAATATGCACACAGTAAAGCTGGCAGCAACCACACGCTGCAGAGTCTGCATTCCAAGTACAAACCCCTCCTTTGCCCCACCTGCGTGACGCATCACGACTGTGACCATTACAATTAATGGATAGTCATAAAACAACTGGATGGTGTCAGGGGAGGGAGACCAAGCAAGAACAGAAAGAAACAGAAATGATTCAAGAAGATTATCTACACGATTATAGCATATGTTAGAACTGTATCAATACTAAAGTTTTAAATATCACAGTTATCATCAATATTGGTATACCACAACACCCCTGCATAGCACAAAGCATACAGCAAGCAAATAAAATAATAATTAAAAATAAAACAACACTAAAAACATCATCGTTAAGGGGACGTTAAAAGGGTGATGGACCCGATTAAGTTCAGGGGAAAGCTGTAAAAGAATACAGAACACACACGCTACACACACACACACACCAATAAAGAAAACATTGTTATCGAACTTTTCTGGATGACAAAATCTTGTTTTACCAGACATCTACCTGATGCTTTAATGCTTTAAAGCTGCATCACATGCATCATGTAACCTGATACATATCACCTGTGGCATGTAACCCAATGGTCTGTGACTTCTATCAGACACCTCCGCCATCCTGCTCGGCAAACAATTTGAGGACACAATCTTGTTCGATCTGTAGAATCCATTTCAGACTGCAGAAGAAAAATGTTGAAAGCTGGAAAACAGTTTACACCAAAAGCCTGTCTTTACCACACTTGTGTCTGAATCGATAAAGCAGCACTTTGGCAACAGGCCCTGCAAAATGCCAACACAAATTTACAACCGCTTTCACCCTCAGGTCAAAGTTTCACCCCACACAGTGGTAAAGATGTGGGAACTGAAAAGTTTTCTCCTTATTTCATCCATTCGTTTCTGGTGTGTAGCCATCATTACAGCCTCACCGGGCAGCTAACATGGCCATAGATTTTAGTTTAGCCCTGTTAGCCTAAAGGATGCCTCACTTCAGGAAGTTACAAGCGATACATCATCTCCGACAGGTCATTCCCTGTATTCAATTTCTAGCACCCACTAGTGTCTTATAACAAGACTTGAAAACTTCAAGAAAAGCAAGTCAGCACGACTGCCTTCACTCAGGGCAGTTTTGATCTGATAAAGAGTAGACCCACTATCTTTAACACTTGGCTATAATTTGATTTTTGAACTTTCAATGAGGCAGAAAAAGGAAATTAAGCAAAAACAACTACTTTAATACGGAGAGATGATTAATCGTCAGAGACAGATACCTACATGTTTTGTCAGCGTAACTGTGTTACATGTGGTACAGCACTTATGTTATTTAGTGCAGTGGTTTCAAACTTTTTGTGCCCAGGGTATACCAACAGGCAAGCCAAAATCTCAAGGCACACCTGCATTTATATCTGTACAGCTTCTATAATGTGTGTTGTCACTCTTATGGCAACATAAGACAATAAAATAAGAAATACTGTCTACTGACTACCTTTCTGTTTTCTTTTGGTGGTAGGTCGCCTTTGCTGGTGCTTTGTTGTAATTTGCTCTGTACAGTAAAGCGATCCATTGTCCTGTCCACGGCTTTCTCCTTTTAAATGTTATCATCCCTCACACTGGCTGCCAATCAGGGCTTTTGATGTGTCACACACTAATAATTCCCACATGCAAACGATGATGAATAGGTTCCAAGTGGAGGTTTTTCAAA